CCCTATAGATATTTGGGCTCCTAGGATGAGCGAGATAGGTATAGGTTAGCCTAGGGGGAAACTATATTTTCCGAACGGAGGAAGCGAAAGGGAGTGCCCTACCGCTCTACTCGCGATGAAGGCTCTGGCCACGAATACTGCATACAGTTCGGATGATAGTTGAATCCATTTCTGTTGCCGTGAAATTGCATGCTTTAACATTTTGCGATTGTGGCTGACGTTATCCCTACAAGGTCGCGTACAGTATTTATTTATCCTTGGGTTTACCTGTCCATGTCGAGAGCCCTCGTGCCTCCGGCACTGCCATCGAGTAGTGGCGATTACCACTATCGTCCCCATCAGCAACAACAGCAACAGCAGTATAACTCTACCCAATCTACTGCAGCCTGTAGTCCTAGTGCTACTGCAACTCTTAGGGGGAATAGTAGTCATACTAGCGATGTGGAGATCCTCGAGGATAAAAAGGGGAGGAGGAACGGAGGAGTGCCTGTCTACTACGAGAAGGGAAGGTATGTCATTGGAGTGTCACGACCCGTCGTCCCGTGATACTCTGTGAAAAAGGCGATATTCGCGGTGATATGCAGTAGTCGTAAAATATATTTTTTACTAGTTCTTTACATATCACTAGGATGAAACTCCACAGCCTCTAATCTCCACTCCCAATCCCCCATAATATGTCCCTTAGCTGAGTTCATGATGATGAGGATAGCTTACATCGATTGAGTATAATCAGGCTGTTGCCTTATAACGAATTCTCCAGTGTAGTGTTACCTCAATGGACAAGCCACTAGCAGATCGCTGAGACGAGTACATCGTCGCTGTTTACATAGCAATAGTCAGCTAACACAAATCGATAAATTTGAAGTGAAATGTTGAGAACATCGAATGTGCGGAAAGCATATGACAGACCCTCACATGGGGACTGCTGTACGGAGATGGTCAAAAGAAATAGAATCATTTTTCCGGAACAAATACTACAATTCAGAATAGTTGATATCGTTGTAGATTTTCCTCATATTCTGAGTTGACACCGAAGTGTACAAAGGATCCTCAAAGAAGTACCTGTCAAAAAGCATAGACTCACACCATACACTAGATTAGGGCGACCTGGGAATGGAGAAGAAGAGTCCAGGCAAGCGGCGTATGGCTCGAACCCTCTGAGGTCGGAGTCCTATAGGGTTATAATCGGCATAATCGGGCTCATTGTCGATCAGACTGTTGGTGTACCTGGCAGCAGGGAATGTTGCAATACAGAAGTCATCACCATCGTAATATACATACGGCATGAGGATATTCTTGAGTCGCGGATTGAGATATGGGAGTGCATATGCGAATTGTCTGTGCCTATCAGGCCACATCTTGCGCAGCTCTTGACGACGGAGGTATCTGCACCACAACGATGAGTAATACAGAACACTGTAACGAATCTAGGAATAGATCCTCCCTCGAAGCCTTAGGGTCGTAGCATAACGAGGATATCGTCTATTGATCTACACCATTCGGAAATTAAAACGGCAATATGGAAACTCGAAGTGGCAATAATTCTTGGAGTAGATCGGGAAGTTGCGTGGTATGGCCATAAAAAAATCGCTCCCGTTATACATCTAAGAGACAACAAGAACTTACACATCAGGATTGAAGAGGAAATGTCTCCTCGCCAGAGCTACTAGGATGC